AGCCTGGGGATCTGCAGTCTGTGGGTGAAGGTCTGGGGGGCCAACACAGGGGACCCACACTCCCCAGTTCAGCTGGAGCAGGGAGTGATGGCTCTGGCAGAGCTCAAATGAACATCTCAGGGCCCATGGGCTGGGATCCAGGTGAGGCTGCTCACAGCCATCAATGCCTGCTGGTCCTGACATCCCGTGCAGCTCTCAGCCTGCAGCTGGTGGGTGCTTGTCCTGGCTTTCCTGGCCCTGTTGCCCCAGCAGCAGGACTGAGGGCTCAGGAGGGGCTGGGGTGAGCAGAGGGAGCTGCTGCAGGTCATGAAGGGCTGTAGGAGCATCGGGGGTAGGACAGAACGAACGGAGACCAGAGATCTCTGGAGCCAGGGCTGGAACTTGGGGTTTATTGCAAAGGGCCTGGGGGCAGGGCCCTGCTGGGAGCTGCCAGGCACAGCTCAGAGCAGGCCTGAGAGAAGAGAGGGGCAGAGAGGATGAGAGGGTGAGAGAGTAAGGGAGTAAAAAAGGTAAGAGCGTAAAAGAGGTAAGAGAGTAAAAAGGGGTAAGAGAGCGAGGTTCTCGTTACAATACCATAAATCTTCTTCTGTGTTGAATATTCTGATTCTCACTAACCAATCTAGTACAAGATACAAATCCTACAGCATTTCCATACAGCCTATAAGAATCATTCCATTACCATCCTGTGTTACATTTTAAACCCTACAAACTCCTCTTTGGGCCCTTCTGCCAAGCTGGCAGGGTCTGCTCTGAGCCTTGGGCCTGTCTGCAAGCAGAGGGTGTTGTTCCATCACAAGGGGATCACCTTCAGCTGGCCACACCATTGTTTTCCAGCTGTTCAGTAACTGAGGGATCTCAAAGCTTGCTTTCATTTCAATCTCATTTTCAATCTCTTAAATTTTCTATATTCTCAAAATCTTTTGCCAGGCAATCATATTGATAAGGCTTTCCTGTTTCATCTTTCCCAACAAAGGGCTCCTTTGATGAGGCTGCTCTAGGAACACCTGGGACAGCTCATGGTGTTTGTTCTTTGCAGAACTTTCTCAAACCAATGACCAAGTGCTGCTGTGACCTCACAGGAACTCTGCCCACCCAGAGTGACTGAGCTAAGCAGGGACAGGGCCTGGTCTGCTCTGCACTGTCACAGCCTCTGCTGCCTTCTCTCCCAGGAGCAGGAGGACAGGCCTGGTCACTCCTCTTACACGCAGGTGCAAGCCCCAGCTTAACCCAGGCTGCTCACCCTGAGGCCATTTGTGCCTTACAAACATCCCCCAGACAGTGAGTGCTGCCCCAGGGCACTGCAGTGCTCAGGATTGCTCAGCTTTGCACCATCTAGATTTATTCTTTCTGCAGCAGCAGCAGCCAGGCCCTGCCATGGTAACGGGCTTTCCTGGAAGGTCTCATTGCTGCATCTTCCCAGCAGTGAGGAAGCAGCAGGTCTCAGGCAGCCTGACCCCTTCCCCAGAGCCCCTGGGACCGAGGATGTGCAGAGGGATTCAGCACAAGCAATACAAGAAAAGCCAGTGTGAATTGCCAGGTCGTTGCTGCATCTCAACAAGACACTGCTGTCACCTGGGGTGTCCCCAAGGACTCCCCAGACAGCCCACCTGGAGCTCAGGCAGGGCTCAGGGGCTCTTTAATCCCACATTTTTGGGGATAAAACCAAGCTGAGAGCAGCTGGCTGCAAACCCAGCAGCAGCCTGGTGACCACCCACCTGGCCAGGAGAGCCACACGGGGCTGGTGGGGTCTGGGACCAAGGACCCCCCAGCCACACCTCTCCCTGTCTCTCTCTCCATGGTGTTTGTCCCCCTGCACTCACACTTCAACAGCAACAAATTGCTGGTAATGAGCTGTGTCTCTGTGTGAGCTGAGAGCCTTGGAGATCAAAGATGCTCTTACACAAAACCAAAATATCATCAGTGGCCTTTAAAGGCCAGACTAAGCTTCTGAGGGGAAAAAAATTCAATTTTCTGTAGATCTAATTTGAAACCATTTTAATGCTCATTAAGATAGAGGGACCCAAGCAGATTGTGTGGGCTGGAAGACAGGGAGAGAAAAAAAGGAGTTATTATTGACATTTTAGTTTAGGTCTTTATTCTATCCAGAGCTCCCTGCTTCTCGGCAGCAGCTTTGAGTAATGCTATTGTTAGCACTGGAACTGTAATTCCAATGTCCTTTTTATAACTGGCTTGGAAAGAAAATAAATCCTGAAGGCTTTCACTAAATTCAAAGTAATGGAATTTGTAGTGGTAAAAAGAGACTTGAAAAGGGAGAAATGTGCAAACCCCAGTGCTGTTACTCCTATCATGGGGTGGCCACGGTGCTCACCCAGCTTGGGCAGCCTCTCTGCACCCCTCTCCCTGGGGTGCTTGGTGAAGGAAGGGACCCCAGGGGTGCCTGGATGAGGGTATGAGGATGTGTCCCAGCTTGGTCACCCACTGGAGCCACATCTCAGAGTCACTTATCCACCTGCAGGGTCACAGCCCTGGGGACAACCCTTCCTGAGGGGTCCCTCAGCAGCATGGGGAATGGGTACAGCCCCACAGGGTTTTTATTTGCCACTATCTGTGTGGAAATAGAAGATTTGTATTTGCCCCGTGGGTGAAAGTGGTCCTGGGGGCAGGTGGGCTTGGTCAGAGCCTAAACCAAAGGAGCTTGATGTTTTGGTTTGCTGTGGTGCTTTTCCCCCTAAAAGTACTGCTGACAATTCTGGTTGATGCAGACAAAGGTTCTGTTGCAATCTCCTCCCATCTGACTAACTTGAATTTTGCTTTACAACAGCAAGAAATTATTTAGAGTGCATTAAGCAGATTTATCTTCCTTCCCCTCCTAGTATTTCATTGTAGTTCTGCAAAGTGTGCAAAAGCCAAATCAAAACTGGGATCAGATTGTCTTTTAGTCATAGTCCCTGCTCTTGGCATTGTGGCAGCTGCTGGATTTCTGGCTATCAAATATCTTTATTAGAGTAAAAATATGTGAGGCAGGGATCCATGTTTTATACAGCACCTTCTACAGCCTGAAAGGAGGGTGGAGCCACGCAGGGGTCGGGCTCCTCTCCCAGATAACAAGGACGACAGGAAAGAGCCTCAAGTCACGACAGGAGAGATATTAGGGAAAATTCCCTCACCAAAAGGATTGTCCAGCCATGCCCAGGACAGCGGTGGCGTCACCGTCCCTGGAGGGTTTTTAAAGCCCTATGGATGTGGGGACGTGGGGACCTGGGACATGGGTCAGCGGTGGCCTTGGCAGTGCCGGGGGACGCTGGACTCGGTGATCCGGGAGGATTTTCCCAGCACAAACCGGGCGCTGCTCCCTGCGATCCCTGTCCGCGTCTGCAGAGGGCACCAGCCCCTCAAATGTCCCTGTCACCCCCGGGCCGGGCGGTGACACCGCGGGGACAGCCGCGATGCTCTGGGGAATGCTCCGGGTGACACCGCCCCATCCATCCCGGGATGCTCTGGGGAATGCTCCGGGTGACACCGACCCATCCATCCCGGGATGTTCTGGGGAATGCTCCGGGTGACACCGACCCGTCCATCCCGGGATGCTCTGGGGAATGCTCCGGGTGACACCGACCCGTCCATCCCGGGATGTTCCTGGGGAATGCGCCGGGTGACACCGCCCCATCCATCCCGGGATGTTCCTGGGGAATGCTCCGGGTGACACCGCCCCATCCATCCCGGGATGCTCTGGGGAAAGCTCCGGGTGACACCGACCCGTCCATCTCGGGATGTTCCTGGGGAATGCTCTGGTGACACAGCGGGGACAGCTGGGATGGTCTGGGGAATGCTCTGGTGACACCGACCCGTCCATCCCGGGATGTTCCTCGGGAATGCTCTGGTGACACCGACCCATCCACCTCAGGAAGCTCCTGGGGAATGCTCTGGTGACACCAATCTAGCCACCTTGGGATGTTCCTGGGGCATGCTCCGGGTGACAATGACCTATCCACTTCAGGATGCTGCTTCAGGAGAGCCCTGGGTTACAGTGACCCACCCCCCCAGGACAGACCTTCATGGAGCCCTGGGTGACAGTGACCCACCCACCCAGGACAGACCTTCATGGAGCCCTGGGTGACAGTGACCCACCCACCCAGGACAGACCTTCATGGAGCCCTGGGTGACAGTGACCCAGCCACCCAGGACAGACCTTCATGGAGCCCTGGGTGACAGTGACCCAGCCACCCAGGACAGACCTTCATGGAGCCCTGGGTGAGAGTGACCAGCCTCAGCAGCCCCATTCCAGGCTGGATCCCAGCTGGGATCCCAGCACTGCTCCCACCATTGCAGTCCAGCACAGAGCACCAGGTGATGCTGGCTGTGTCTCCTGCCAGCATTGTCCAACCCTTGGACGGGGATGGGGACACCATAACCCCTGCCATGGCCTCAAGTCACAGCCCCATAGCTGGCTCCATCCCCAGCACCTCACTGAACCCAAAAATCCACCTCCAACAGTGGCAAACACAGCAAAACTACTGGAAAAATTCTTGTGGGAATGTGTTGTTGTCCTTGTTTCCCCTGTGCTATGGGCCCTGTGGGTGGGAATCACTTCTGCTTTAGGAAAAAACCAAAACCCTGACATGTGTTTTCTGGCCCAGTCTGACCTCAAAAAAGCACCAGTGAGAAGATCTGTGTTTTGGCAGAAGATAGCAAGAATGCCTCCAAGCACACAGTGGCTCCTGGCATGTGGGGACAGGACTGATCCCAGCTCAGAGAAAAGCCCCAGAAGTGGCTTTGGGAGAGCTCCTGGCTGGCCCCTGGAGCCTCAGTAGCCCACCCTGGAGAGGATGGTGCTTGGTTGCAGGGGAAGCCCAGGGTGAGAGCCAGAGACACAAATGTCTGGATGTCCCACAGTGCTGTGTCCAGCCACAGACGTTCCCATGCTGGAAATGTGAACTCACATGATTCCCAAACTTGACAGTGTCTGTACAGCAGCATGATGAAAGCTAAAGTACTTCAGCCACTGGTACAGCCAGGGAAGCAAACAGGAGTCTCCCCACTCCAGATTTAGCTCTTTATTGATTTTCCAGCTGCATCCATCAGTCATTGTCCCAGTGCTCAAATTACCCATTAGAGATACCATAGAAATGAGAGGAAAACAAGACAGGCTTGTGGTTTTGATGAAAAATGATAAACATCCCAAACAACAACTTCTGGAAGGAAAACCCTTCCTTTTTAGGGTGGGGACTGGGTTACATTTATTCTTGAACAGCTCAGAGGCACTGAGGGCTCCTGGCTGCTTGTGATCTGGGGCTTGACCATCTCCCATGGCCCTTATTCCCTTTGCCACTGGCAGCACTGTGCCCTGCAGGAGGGACTCAGGAGCCTCCCTCCAGCCCAGCTTGTCACCTGTGTCAGATTCAAGGATAAACATAAATCCAGTTTCAAAATCCACATGACTGCACTGGATGTCCTCTGTCCATGCTGCTGCTTCCTCTCACCTACAGTGGACTCCCTGCTGATGACTGCAGCTGGGTCACATCCTGCAGGTGGCCTGACCTGTCTGAGGTGTCCCTGGCATTAAGGGGATGTCCCCTGTGCTTGTATCCATCACCGCACAGCTGCATTGCAGAGGGACCCAAGGGTCTGGGACTGGAGATGCTGTTAACATCCCATCTACATGGAAAAGCCCTTCCTGGGGGTTTTACTACATGAATTTCATAGGGTGTAGATGAATGGCTTCAAACTAAAGGAGAGGAGGTTTAGATGAGATATTAGGAAGAAATCCTTCCCTGTGAGGGTGGGCAGGCCCTGGCACAGGGTGCCCAGAGCAGCTGTGGCTGCCCCTGGATCCCTGGAAGTGTCCACAGCCAGGCTGGACAGGGCTGGGAGCAGCCTGGGACAGTGGAAAGTGTCCCTGCCATGGCAGGGAATGGAGCTGGATGGGCTTTAAGGTCCCTTCCAACCCAAACCTCCTGCGATTCTACCAATAAATCCATGTCCGCCACCTTGTGAAGAGACTCCGACCCAAGGAGCTGCACCGTGACCCTGTGGCTCACCAAGGCAGCAGAGGGGAAGTCCCCAGGGTCCCCTGCTGCACGCAGAGGTGTCCCCAGAGGGGAGGGCTGTGCTGGCTGTGCCCGGGCTGGGCTGGCTGTGCTGACTCAGCAGCACACACCCTGTGTAAACGCCCGCCAGCTGCTGCTCCGGCCGCTGTTTGCTCAGCCCACACTGCTCTGTTTGCCTTTGGGATCACGATGGAAGGAGATGGCCTTTGGTCCAGAAAATGAGGCAAGGCAGCTCCAGGCACCTGCCTCAAGGATCCTCCAGCATCTCCGCTCTTCCTGCTCCTGTCCAGGCACTCAGTGGCTGCAACCCACCAGCACCACCCAAATTAAAAACTCCACGGAGCTCTAGGAGCTACAGGAAAATGCACTCACCACAGCATAACCCAGCTGCCACGCAGCCAGGAAAATTATTTATTATCATTTCCTTGCAACAGAGATATGGGGAAAAAAAAAAAGCACCCACCCTCCACAGGTGCAAACAGCAGCAGCTGCAGCATCCACATTGGAATCTATGTACATCACAGTGTAAAGTCCATCAGGGAAAAAAAAAAATTCAATCCAAGTTTTTTTTAAAAAAACCTCATGACCTAAAACCAGGAACCAGAACAAACAAAGTAGTTGAGAAAATAGGTTGGGCCCCTCCCTCTTGCTATAAAATACATATTTCTAAGGCAAAGTTTCACAAGACCAGAAGCGAGGTTCCTAAAGAGTCTGAGCGTGCAGCTGAAGACACCGCACAGGCACAAATCCCACGTGAGAAGCTACTGTAGGCACGAGAACCTCCACCCACCCGGTGCCTCAGTGCTCAGCGTAGTCCTTGGTCTCCACCCCGGTCTCGTTGAGCACCGTCGTCCTCATGATGGCCTCGGTGACCGCGTAGGGGTCGCAGTTGGCCGCCGGCCGCCGGTCCTCGAAGTAGCCGTAGCCGTCCTGGCCGACCTGGCGCGGGATGCGGATGCTGGCGCCTCGGTTGGCCACGCCGGCCGAGAACTCGAAGATGTTGGAGGTCTCGTGGTGGCCGGTGAGGCGCCGGGAGTTGTCCCTGCCACCCCGCGGGTCATACACGCAGATGTGGTAATCGTGCCGCTTGCTCAGCTTCTCAATGGCGGCTTCGATGTGCCTGTGGGAGAGCACAGGGGGTTCAGCAGGTCCATTTGGGGGGTGTCACCCCCTCCTCCTGTGCAGGGACAAGGACAGCCCAGGGGATCCCTCATGTAATCAGCTGCTCTTAAAATAATGAGCTGGGATATCCCCAACCCTGCCTGGTGCAGCCACACAGGTAGGGAGACGCTTCCATATGGCCCAGGACAACCCCAAGCTCCCAGGTGTCACAGACATCTTTTATGAAAAGTCCTTTCCTTAGGATTTTTCCTCCTGAGAAGCTGAGAGGCCTCAGGAACAATATGTAACCAATGGTTATCTGCTGCTGTGGAATGCAACAGGTGCATCTGGGATTGGGCTCATGTGGTTGTTTCTAATTAATGGCCAATCACGGACTCTCTGTCCAAGATAGAAGCTTTTGTTATGATTGCTTCCTATTCTAGTCTTAGCTTGCCTTCTGATGAAATCCTTTCTTCTATTCTTTTAGTATAGTTTTAATATAATATATATCATAAAATAATAAATCAGCCTTCTGAAACATGGAGTCAGATCCTCATCTCCTCCCTTATCCTTGGACCCCTGTGAACACGGTCACACCCAGGCACATCCCAGGGAGCCCCCAAGGACTCTCTTGAGTCCTGAGACTCCCCTTGAGACCCCCCAGGACTCACTTGAGGCCCCCCTCTCTGCGCATCTCCTCGGTGCTGTAGTTGGTGTGACACCCGGCGCCGTTCCAGTTGCCGGTCATCGGTTTGGGGTCCAGGGTGGCCACAACCCCAAAGTCCTCACAGACACGGTGCAGGATGAACCGAGCCATCCACAGGTGATCCCCCATCTCAATGCCTTCACACGGGCCCACCTGGAATTCCCACTGCAAGGGGGAGCAGATGAACAGGTAAGGATGGGCACATGGGCACCTCCACATCCCTGCCACTCTCAGCCTGGACTGAGGCCAAATGTTACCCTTGGGAATCAGCAACAAGGATGGGGAGCATTGAGGCAAGCAACAAGACATCTTTGGCATGCAAAAAAAAATGGGAAGAAACTGTTCATTGCTATGTAGAGCAAATCAGAAGGGTTTTTAATCAAAACAGAGATAAATAAACACCACATGTGACTGAGGCTGGAGCTGTGTGAGCAAGACCCCCAGCCCACACTGCAAACAGGGCAGAGGATTAGCAAGGAGCCTGTTAGTCCTTCCCAGGGCTGCTCCCTGCCTGGCTGGAGCCAGGGTTGCACCACCCACGGTTACTAAGCACAGAGTGACGTCTTTGTGGCTGCTGGCGTGAAAGAGCCTGAGCCCAGGATGTGGAAGGCAGCCAAGAAGGACCCTGAAGAATTTGGGGCAAACAGTGGGGTGGGTAAAAGTCCTGCCTCAGCTCCACTGCTGCTAAGCCCCTGCTTATCACTGCCACATCAGCAGCAGGACAGTCAGCGGCTGCAGGTCCCAGTCAGTCTGGCCACCTGCCTAATGCAATCAGGGGCTCCCTGCTGCTCACTCCCAGATAAACCCAAATCCTCCCAGCTGCTCCCCAAGGCCATGTCCCACCCGAGCTGCGTGGTTCCCAGTTCCAGAACAGGGCTCAGACCCCATCACTCCACATGGTGCTCCTGCAGCCCCATCCCAGCTCCCATGGGGAGTTCCCAGCTCTGCTCTGGCAGCCAGAGCTCAGGCTGAGCTGTGCAAGGAGCTTGGGGTGAGTTAGGAGAAAATCAAATGCACGTTTCCATTCCAGCAGTGCAACTGCTCCCCCCTAAGCAAAACCAGTGTGAGGAGTCCCTGGATTCAGGGTTCCAGAGGAGCTGGGAGTTGCTGGGTTATTCCAGCCTCACTGGAATATCGTATCCATCACTGGGAATGAGCTGCCTGGGGCCATCCACACCTACCTGGGAGGGCATCACCTCGGCATTGGTGCCACAGATCTTCACCCCCGCATAGAGACAGGCCTTGTAGTGGGACTCCACGATATCACGCCCGTACACCTTATCTGCTCCAACCCCGCAGTAATAGGGGCCTGGAAGGAACAAGGAGTCACCACCCAAGGAAAACTTCGGGGAGCCACAACAGCTCTGTAACATAATCCCACTCTCCCAGGTACCTGCTGCCATGGGCAGGGGATTTATGGGAATTAAAATGATGTTTCTCTCCACAGGACATCAAGCCACCGACCCCAGCTCCAGGATTAGCAGCGTGAGCAGTTCATCTGTGCAACCTCAGCCTTATCTAGGCAGTTCAATAGTACTTGTAACACATCAGCTGGGAGGTGGCCTCGAGATAAGCAAAGTTTGGTCTGCCCCGGGGCACCTCCCTCACCCTCTGAGCACATCAAGCTTCCGAGATTGTTCTGACAACAGCTGCCATTGTTCACAGCTAGAAAATCCAATTCGCTGGGGTTTGATATCTTCCTCATTCGAGCAGGTAAGGCAAATATCTTCTCCCGCCTGGGGGAAGGGAGATGTTGCAAGCAGCCGGTCCACACAAAAATCAGCTTGGGAAACCTCTGGCTCTGTCCCAGGAGGCAGCTGAGGAGCCGGCTCGTTGCTGCAGGAGGGCACAACGCACCATGCCAAGCCCTTTCCTCAACAGCCAAGGGGAGGAGGTTTTTCCAGCCCAGTTCTCCAGCCCTTGCCAAACAAGTCGTGCAGCTGAGCTGTTTGTGCAAGCAGGGTCCGGCGGGAGCGGCTCACGTGAGCCACGGGGCACCAGGTGCTCCCGGCAAACAGCCCCTGCCTGGGGTCACCCCTGCCAGCAGAGCTGCACCGGGGCTGGGGATGGCCTCACTGCCCCCTCCCAGCACCCCACAAGCAGCAGCGTGGGGGCTGAGGGGGATTTGGGGCTGGATTTTTGGCTCTTACCCTGCGGGCCGGGGAAGCCGTTGTCGGGCCAGCCATAGGGGTGGCCGTTGATGCCCAGCAGGGTGTACTCCTGCTCCATCCCGAACCAGGGCCGGCTGTCCTTCACCAGGTCCATGACTTTCTTGCACGTGTGTCTCAGGTTGGTCTCTGGGGGCAGAGAGGTCTGGGTTAGAGCTGTGCTGTGACCCAGCACCCACCACTCTCTGCTCCATCCCACCCTGAGACTGAGGCTCCACCACTGCCAAGGGTTTCCCACAGAAGCCTTAAGGAAATCATGAGTGAATCCCCCTTCCTGCTCATCAAATTCCTCCCCACAGTTACTCCATCACTGGAGCATCAGGCCACAGGTCAAGAGGGTTTAATTATCCTGTTCTCCAAACCACTGCTGATGGTCCATCCTCCTCCTCTTACTCACTGAGAGACAAGGAGCCTTACCCCAGCCCCATCCTACAGGCATTCAGCAGACCTGGGAATAGGGGCTTCCATCACTCCTTCACCCCCATCCTCTTTCTACCAGCCTCATCTTAATTATCCTTATCTTTCTGCAGCTCCATGGTTTTGGTTAGCATCCAGACTGGCTGGCCCTGCCTTGGCCTTTCGAGGTGCTCAAGGCATCTGGGGCTTTGCCAGGAAAACACAGATAGCAGAGAACTGTCCAGACATGAACGAGCCAGGCAAGGGGAATGAGATCTTGGACCAAGACATCAGCGAAAAAGGCTGAAAAACTGCCGTGACAGGGATAGGCAGGCTCCAGGCTGCACATTCTGCCCCAACTTGCAATAAAAACCCAGAGCAGCTACAACAGAGCGTGGGGCTGGAGGGAAGCAGTGGCAGATGGGGAGCAAGGCTAAGAGAATTTCTTCTCCTGAGCCCACAGAGCCCTTAAGGTCCATGGAAACCCAGCCCGGGGAGGGCTGGAGGGTGCACCCCTCTCACCATCGGGGCTCTGGGCTGAGCTCTGTGTGCCCCGGGAGCCCCAGGATCAGGGGCTCTCTTTACCAACTCCTCCAGTGGAGGAGCTGCCGGGCAGGAATCTCAACCAAGACACTTCCCCCACCCTGTCTGGAGGCTGCTGGAAGAGGAATCAGCCCCGTCTTTCACCATCCCTGCCCGCTGCTCTCCCGGCAGAGCCGCATCACCCGCAGATGCCCTCTCCCTCCCCCGCACACCCATAGGGCTCAGCCCTGCTTCAGTGGCAAATATCCGGTGTTTGCCGGCAAATAACCCCTCCGGGAGCCCCTCGGCGCGTCCCTGCAAAGAGGCTCCTTTTCCTGTGTTTGGGGCTTTATCACAGGGACAAGACGGACCGCAGGCTCCTGCGAGCGCAGCCTCGGCGATAAGCGCGAGAGCCTCCCGTTCTGTTTGCTAAAGGTCACTGTGAGCGAGCACTCGCCGGCTCAGCATCTTCCCCTTCCTTTTCTGCAGCCTCCCACCAGCGAGAAGAGCCACCACAACCCGGGCACGTCAGAACCCCGCACTTGCAGCTCCCGCTCCCCCCGGGGCTGGGCGAGCTCGGGCTCAAGAGGCGGGAGACGCCTTTGGTGAACTCCACGTCTCGCTGCTCTTCTCCTCGCCCCGTGCCACTAAAACAGGTTCCTGCAAACAACCACCGCCACCAGCGCTTGGATTTCGGAGCCTCGGGCCAAGTGCTCGGCGCTCAGCTGTGCCCCAGGGCCGGCGGTCCCGAGCAGGGGCCCTGGGGAGGTGGCACCCTAAATAATAAGGGGGTGACCCTCGGGAGTTCGGGGTGCTCACCTGCGGGTTTCCTGTTGTACTTCAGCACTTCGCAGAGCACCAGCTTGTTGGGGTCCAGGCAAAAAGGGTCCCTGAACATGCAGACAGGCACCAGGAACATGTCACTGTTGGAGCCCTCTGCCTGTGCCGTGCTGGAGCCATCAAAATTCCACTCGGGGACATCTGCGGGGCAGGAGGGGGAAGGAGGTGGGAGTGAGGTTGGGAAAAGGCCCACATACGGATTGTGTCAAGTGCTGGTGGCTCAGATCCAGGATGGAGCCCCCAAGGGGTGCCGAGTTCCATGGGATGTCAGCCACAAAGGTTTTCTTGCACATCCCCGGAGCCCCTCGGTGCTCCCTGAGCATCAGCGTGTTCAGCCCACCCCAGCACCACCAGGCACGGGCAGGATCAGTCCCAGCCACTCCACCTATCTCTGCCAAACCCCATCCAGATGCCGACACGTCTCCATGCCTGTTTGCCTGGAGGAAAGGGGCGAGGAGCTCATCTTCCCCTTCCCACCCAGCACTAATAGCAGAGATTAGCGGATTAAGCAAACCGCAGGGACACAGGTTGGATATTCACCCTGCTCCTGGTACAACCCCACCAGACAGCTGCAACAGGTACCACTGGTGCCATACGGCCAGGGAGAGCCCGTCCCAGCTCCCACCGCCCCAAGCACTCCAGAACTTTGCCCAGGTGATGTTCAGGGCCCTCCACCACACCACCCATCACCCGAGGGAGCAGCCGCGTTACCTTCGATGCTCTTGGGCTCCTTATCGAGGGTCCTGCTCTTGCAGCGCACGCCCTCGCCGCTGCCGTCGATCCAGACGTAGGTGACCTGCACCCTCCCATCCTGGGGCAGCCTCATGTACTGCTCCCGCACCAGCTTGTTCAGCCTGGAGCTGTGCGACACCGACATGGCGACGGCCCTGCGGGGGCGCACAGGTGAGTGCCACATCACCCCCGGCCCATCTCCCCAGGGCTATGTTACAAACCAAGCTCCCAGCCCATAGCGAGCCACCCCGGCTCCCCCCGGCTGCCTCCCCCGGCGGGATTCGAACCCGTGACCCCGCGCTCACCGGCCCCAGCGCTGCCCGCGCCCGCTCCGCCCGCACTTTAAAGGCGCCCACGGTCCGGGGGCGGCGCGGAGGCGGCTCCGCCCCGGGGCGGCAGCGCCGGGCCCCGGCCCCCACCTCCGGGACACTCACTGAGGACGTTTAGTATCGTTTTCTTTTCTTATTAAAATATTGCTTATTAAAAACAACAGGTATCTCACGGCTAAAGCATCGCTTTCTTTGTTTAAAGTAGTGACTTATTGGCTAAATAACTTTTTATTTAAAGAAACAGGTATTACTCATTGAAAATGTTATTCACCACCTCCGGTTCCCTCTCTGCGTGTGTCATCCGTTTTGGCCCCTTGTTTGTGTAGGGTTGCCCTCGTACACGCGTGCAGGTGTTTTTCTCCCAGCGCTGCTAAATCGCTGCCGGGGGGGAGCTGGGGAGGCTGCTGGGTTGTGCTCCCCCAGCACCCCAAAACCTGGCTGGGACCATGTGGATGTGTGATGGAACGGATCTGAGTGCCTGGGTGTCCTGGGGACATCAATGGTAATGAGATCCCTGGGACAGGGACAGCCAGATTCCCGGGACAGGGACAGCCCAATCCATGGGGACAGGGACAGCCCAATCCATGGGGACAGGAACAGCCAGATCCCTGGGGACAGGGGCAGCCCAATCCATGGGGACAGGGACAGCCAGATTCCCGGGACAGGGACAGCCCAATCCATGGGGACAGGAACAGCCAGATTCCCGGGACAGGGACAGCCCAATCCATGGGGACAGGAACAGCCAGATTCCCGGCACAGGGACAGCCCAATCCATGGGGACAGGGACAGCTCAGTCCATGGGGACAGGAACAGCCAGATCCCTGGGGACAGTGGCAGCTCAATCCGTGGGGACAGGGACAGCTCAGTCCATGGGACAGGAACAGCCAGATCCCTGGGGACAGTGGCAGCTCAATCCGTGGGGACAGGGACAGCCAGATTCCCGGCACAGGGGCAGCTCAATCCATGGGGACAGGGACAGCCAGATTCCCCCTGCCATTACGTCTCTCCCCCCATCCTGCCCTGGCCAGCCCAGGAACGACCCCTTCCCACCCAGCTTCAGCTCCCCCGTGGCTGCAGGGCTGGGTCTGCCCCCAAGGCATTCCTTGGAAAAGACGGGAGGAAGGGCTGAGAGCTGCTGGGAAAACACCGCAATCTCCTACTTCAGCCCTTCCCATCTATAAACCGCCGGGTTAAAGCACAATTTTTAAGCACCAGAGCGTAGCAGAGTCTCTTTAAACCCCCAACTATCCACGCTCAGCAGAGGCTCTGCCGTGATTTACAGTCAGCTAAAAATCCTCAGCCAACAGGTGTGAATTTGAGTCGATTATTTCAATATAGCAGCAATTTCCAGCTATTGAGCCGAACGCAGATCCAATTAGGTGGATTAAACGCATCGCTGCCTTCCCAGTTTTCCATAGATCCTGCGTGAGAGGCTCCCACGTGTCGGGGCAGACAGACCCCAAACGTGCCAGGGCACAGCCAACATGGGCACAACTAACGTGGGCACAACCAGCGTGGGCACAACCAACAAACACGGGCACAGCCCGTGCCGGCGCCTCCGGGGCTTATCTCAAATACTCCAGGATGTCTTTCTGGGAGGAGGGCAAGATTCCAAACAACCCCCCCAAGCAAACCCGGCGGGCTGAGCGCGCTTCGACTCCCCAGCCTCGGGTTTCAAGCAGTTTTCCGATGTTACAAAAGGAGAACAGGCTTTAAGGCATGACTGGGCTCTAAAGCAGTCGGGTTTTTGCTAATTCCCCCGGTTCTTAAGACAGCCTCATGTTTGTGGCTGCCTGACTCACCGCCAGGAATGCTTTTACTGCAAAACACCAAGGCAGCTAAAAAAAACCTGCTTCACGGTTGATTGCCCCCCACAGGACATCTCCTCCCCGGGCACTGACCCAAGACATCAGCTCTGTTTTTCTTCTGAAGGTGTTTTGGTCCCGCAGGCAGATAAAGAATCGGGAAGAAACCTGAAAGCACTTGGGATTGCACAAGAACCAGGAAATGAGATTGGCAGCGGCAGAAGCAAAACTTAATTAGCAATTTGGGTGACCGGGCGGTGACATCAGTGGCAGCGGGCTGCGGGCGGGCCAGACGTCACCCACCCCACAGCTCGTGGGTGCTGCCCCAGCAGAGCGCCTGGGAAGGAGCTTTGATACACGGGCATGTGCCCAGGGTCCCGGAGCCGTGCGGGTCTGCCCCGTGTCCTTGGCGCTGCCCCGGTGACATTTAGGGTCCCCTGCAACTGCAGCTGGGGTGCAGCTCGAAAGCAGCCGCCTCGCTCTGCGGGGTATTTTAGGGACACATCCACGAATGTGGCTGCAAAGCTCAGCATTTCCTCATTCTTGTTTGGAAATCGTCCCAGGGCGGGAGGAAATGCACCCCTGGCTGTGCAGCCCTTTCCCGGAGGCGTTGCAACACCGAGCAACAACGAGCAGCACCGAGCCGGGGAGGAGCCAGCGGCTCCGCCGGGTCCGAGGCTCCTGTCCCATCCCCATCTCCACCTCTATCTCCATCTCCACCTCCATCTCCATCTCCATCTCCATCTCCATCTCCATCTCCATCTCCATCTCCATCTCCATCTCCATCCCGCCTGGGGAGCTGGAGCCCCCGGGACCGGCCTCAGGGCTGGAGAAGCAGCGGCTGATGCTGAGCAGAGAGCTCAGAGATGGATCTGCATCCCTTGGGAAGGAAGGCAAACCCCACCGACGGACGGGAACTGCATCCTCCAGAGCCAGCAGGAGCAGCAGGGGTGTGCTCAGTGTGATAGGAGGGTTCTGCCGAGCCCCTGCACCTTCCTGACTCAGCTGGGTGGGGGAGAGGCTCATTTTATCCCTCTGGCTTCCCTCCTGGATGTGCCCACCTGGGCAGAAACCCAGGGAGAAATGGAACAAAATCCAGGCTGAGTTAACCCAGTAACCTGGATTGGGAAGCTCCTCTGTGAGCAGCTGGAATCACTGAGCACCAAAACACCCAAAAGGGGAAGACAGAACAAACACCAATAATCCCTCACCTGGTCAGAGCCCCCTGCCCCAGGAGGGCAAACACGGTGAGTTTGTGATGTTTGGGACAGCAGCAGCCTGTGGGGGCACAGGAGTGGAATCACAGAATTCCTAAGGGTGGAAAAGGTCACTGAGCCCAGCTGTTACCCAGCACTGCCAAGGTCTCCAAGTGCTACGGTGCCATCCCTGCCCAAACACCACCCCCAAGGCAGCTCACCAAATATACACAATGATTTCACACCAAAAAGGATTTTGGTAAGCAGGAAAAAACATTTCTGCCGTGTAAGGTTGGGCACCTGCTTAGTCAGATTTTCCTGGGATCAAGCCTCATCTCCCCAAGCCTAATTCCAGCCATTTCCATAGCAACAACCCTGTTACACCAACAACAGCAGCACCATTCACTCCTGGCTCCCGAGGCTCTGCAGTGACATTTCCCCCAAACAAGCCCCGGCTCTGCAATCAGCGGGCTCCTGCCTGCTCCCCTCCTCGCCAGGTACAGTAAATATTAACCACCAGCAGGCTCCCAGAATCAGCCACCGGCCCAAGGTCGGAGCCAGGGCAGCAAAGGGAGCAGGGGTGTCCTTGGAGAAGTAAAAGGTCACAGATTAAATCTCCTGAGGACTTTGTGAAGCCCGTTCAGAGCTGCAGCAGAGGGGTTCCCCCACATGGAGCACAGCAGGGAGAGAAGCTGATTCTGCTGTGCTGCTCCAGCCCGGACCAACCATCCACCATCACCTCTGGTGCCATCTGGAATGTCACCCCTGTGCCCACAGGATGCAGGATGCAGCAGGGCTGATCCCCTTCCCGGTGTCTTTTTTTGGATCAGTCTGGAGATCCAGCCTAGTTAGACCTGGCCAAGCACTAAATTCTTCCTCCAGTTTTTATCTCTGTGACTTCGAGAGATACTCACACTGCATTTATCAAACTGAAAAGAACCTTTCCTCAGGGGTGCATAATCCTTTCTGCTCCTTGCCTTATAATAAACTAGATTTATCCCTAACCTTCTCTTCTGTATAGCATTTTGCTGACCTACCACATGTAGGTTTTTAACCAAATTTGCAAAGATCCTGCTTTCCAGTTTTCTCCAGAAAGCACTCCTAATGCTTTAAGGAAGTTGCTTCCCACATTTCCTTCTTGTACAGCTTTATCAGCCTGAGCATTTTCCAGCCTTGCCAAAATGCACCAAAGATATTTCTTGCTTTGATAGGATAGTAGTAAATCATTAAGACATTTCTCAGATTGAAAATCTTCAGTAACACAATATTTTGTGTTACTTCTTTTTACCACGAAGGGGTTAAACACGGGCTAATTTACTTCCTGGGGTGGCTTTTTACACCTTCCCCTGGTGCTGCAGCAGAAGGCTGCACCCAGAGGGCTGGGTCTTGGCTATCAGATCCCTCCATCCACTTGTCCAAGAAGATCCCTGGGCACAAAGCAGGGATTTTGAGATGGAGAATTTGGGTTTTACTCTAAATCACCCTCCAGGGTTCAGGACGCTGCTCAGAACTGAGGGAATTCCTCCCTGGTTCTTGAACCCCCCCAGCACCTCCCAGAGCCCTGGAGCCCCCGGGGAGAGCATTCCCTCTCCCCGGGATCGGTGGGACCAGCCCGGGCTGGTTCTTGTCCCGCCAAACAGCTCCGTGGGGAGATTAGGGGAAGGCAAAGAGCAGCATCGGCAGGAGGAGCCCGGCACAAACACCATAAAGGGATTAGAGGGGCTGGGGGGGAATTCTGCTGTGTGCACGGTGCTGGGACAGGGGGGGACTCCTGCAGCTGGGGGACCCCGGGGGCTGGGGGAAGGTGCTGCCCCAGCAGGGCTGGGGTGGGGCAGGGATGGGACGGGACGGGAT